ATGTCGTATGGACCTCAAAGAAATTATTCTTGGGGGGGGGGGGAATTTTAGGTTTAAAGATCAATTTTACTTAAAAACACTTGGGGGTAGCAACGGGCAGCCCATTTGATCCTAGTATTGCTTGTTTATTCATGGCTAGATTAGTCAGAATTATTTGCAATCCTATACAGAATCCTTTGTTTAGTGAGATCCTCATTTATACGTGTTTTATAGATGATATTTTCGTAGTTTGGTGTAAGGAAAATAGTTTAAAGGAGTTTCTAAACTGGATTAACTCCATTCATTCTAGTATAAAGTTTTCTCTCCAACAGGATAGAGACTCTATTACTTTTCTAGACACTATTGTCTTCCATGACAGTAGAAGCCAGTTGCCAGTTCGCAATTACAAAAAATTAGTTGATAAAAATACATATTTACATTATTCATCATACCATCCTCCACATTTAAAAAATAGCCTCCCTTAAAGCCAATATTTGAGAATTAAAGGGAAAGCACATTTTTACAGATTATGTCAATGCAAGCCAAACTCTTACTCAGCAGTTTAGAGAAAGAGGTTATCCTTGCAGATTTTGAGTAGAGCTAAAATGAGAGTTGACAGGATAGATAGAAAGGTATTGTTTGAGAGCAAATTGCATTGTGAGAATAGCCGTATTATATGATTAGACTATTCTTATTTAGCTATGTCCATTTAAAAAGCTATTAAAAAGCACTGGCGTATTGTGAGCCATATTCCAGGCTGTGAACTACCTCCTAGGGTTGGTTTTAAGAGAATCAGGAATATGTCTGATATCAGGACTGATTTACACATACGTAAACAATATTTACATTATTCATCATACCATCCTCCACATTTAAAAAATAGCCTCCCTTAAAGCCAATATTTGAGAATTAAAAGGAAAGCACATTTTTACAGATTATGTCAATACAAGCCAAACTTTTACTCAGCGGTTTAGAGAAAGAGGTTATCCTTGCAGATTTTGAGTAGAGCTAAAATGAGAGTTGACAGGATAGATAGAAAGGTATTGTTTGAGAGCAAATTGCATTGTGAGAATAGCCGTATTATATGATTAGACTATTCTTATTTAGCTATGTCCATTTAAAAAGCTATTAAAAAGCACTGGCGTATTGTGAGCCATATTCCAGGTGTGAGCCATCCTCCTAGGGTTGGTTTTAAGAGAATCAGGAATATGTCTGATATCAGGACTGATTTACACATACGTAAACAAATAGAAGGTCCTATGGGACAATTTAAATGTGGTTCATGTAAAGCATGTGATTTAGCTCTTACTGTTAGGGAGTATTATGATCCAAATAGTGGAGTACAGATCAGATTAAATTCATTCAATAACTGTAACAGCAGGAGGTCTATATGTGGAATCTTATGTCCATGTCAAAAATTATACATTGGCTGTAGTATGAGACCTATTAAATCCAGGATCCTGCAACACTTATTATGTATCAGATCAGCCCATAGAGCTCCCTGACCAACGATTTCATTTCTCATCATCATAATGCATATTCCCTGAGACTCTTTATTATTTATTGATATGAGAACAGAGATTTTAGCACTACAGATGACCAGAAGCAGTTATTGCAAACAGAAGTGAAGTGGATTTTCAGATTAAAAACTCTTGCACCTACAGGCCTGATCACAGTATGAAAAGATATGTAATTTCTGTTTTTTGGTTTACAGAGTATCCACCTGGAACAAAATTTAATCAGATCTGTTCTTTGAGAAAGCATATGGGAAACGTCAGCAAAAGAAGGAAGATCTGTATGGTGAAAGAATTTTTGTGGACTTAATTTGAACACCTAAAGGAGTTGTTCCTAATAGTGTGACTTGGAACTACTATACTCACATTTTGTACATCCTTTGAAGAAGATATTTTGTGTATTTATCTGTATGGTACAGTCCTTATGTGCATACAGCATTACAGTGTGTACTAATTTGCTTGAAATAACAAGAATATTTGGATGTTATATACAGCGTTGGTACACAGTTCTTTTTGTTTATTATTATAGCTTCTGAGAGCTGACAAGATCAGGCTATACTATGCCATTCCACATCCCCTTGTACAAAATAGGCAACATAAAATGTATGACAGTCAGGACCTACCTATGATGCTCTGATCATCTGGCCAAGAGGAATATAATTCTGTCACTGGATCACAAACTTTATCTCTTTCTTCTAAAATGGAGGGAAAAATAGTATTTCGTTATTTTCCATAAAAAGCAGTAAACCAAATTAATTAATTAATTAGAGTCCAAGGATTATGTAAATTTCTATTTTAAAATTATGCTAATTTCTAACTGGAAATTAAAGCTGCAAGTGCAGTTGGCACCCCTGCCCCTTTAGATTTCAAAATTAGAAGCTGGTTCTATTTATAAGTGACTGGGTTGAACCCAAATTTCAATTAGCAGTAGTGTTGCAAACTTCCTGGAAAAATTATCTGTCTCTTTAACAAAGCGTTAATTGGGTATAGTGTACTAGGTGATGTCATTTACCTCCATGCCATGAAAAGCTTCAGCTGCCTTTTCCATACATTAAGTCTCTGTTAAAGGAATGGGATGTTTTCCCCCAGGCCTGTTGGCAATCCTAATTATAGGTTTGCTATCACGTTTGATTGCTCATCCTAGTCTTCTACAAGGCTGCTCCCATGGAAAACCCAATACCATTCTTAACTTCTTAAAATCAATGGGTTTAGATAGGTCGAACTCCCTGGTGTTTATAATACTTGAATTTGAGGAACAAGTTAATTCAATACATCAAATGCTCTGCCTTGAGACATATAGAATGATGCAGCGACCTGCCTTTATATTTGTCCAAAGCATTTATGTCACATAAGCTTAGAAAGCATAAAGTTTTCCATGGATAAGCTAAACAAGCTATTTTAATAAATATATAATATTCATTTTACAATTTGATTACCTGTCATCATTTATAGCATATTAAAGAATATATATGGGCAGATTCCACCTTGGAATTTGGAGTACCAGTACATTAAAAATACTATCGTTCATAGAATTTGTTCACCCCAAAACTGACAAACTTTGTGCACATACGTAGTCATTTTCTCTATTCTATTAAAGCATTCTTATTTTGTTGGTGCCTTTTATTTTCCCAGTTTATTGCCACAGTTGCAGATTCATAACCATTCCCAAATCTATAATGTACTTCATTTTTCAGATAACATAATATTACCCCAGGATCCACTGGCTATCTGCAGCTTGTGATTTCAGATACTTGGTCCACATTATCAATCCAAAAAGCTTGAATATTAGAACATGATTTGCAGAACTCAGCTGTTTTACAATTATTACTTAGATAAATAATGGACAGTCTCACCTAGTGCAAGTGTAAGTATGCATTTTAGACCTGCCCAGTGTTCTCTTCTGACTGTCCCTTTTTTACAGTTGATTTGCCTCTTAGAAACTGGAAATATTCTGCTATTGCCTAAACATTATGGAATGGCCTTCCAGAGAATGTAGGCCAAGCAAGGTTGCTGCCCTACCCCTAGCTCCTGTTTCCCAACTCTGCTCAGAGCAGTGTTGGTAGGAGGAAAGCAAATGGCCGTCAGGCCAATGGTGTGACATCACTTCCAGGAAAAATTCAGAAGTGACATCAGTCATCTCTAGGAATCACCAGAAATGGCTGCCCTCCCATGTCCCTGCCTGCCCCCCAGCCTGGCTGCCAGGCAGGACCTAATGCTAAGCTCCCTTCTTGCCAGCCTTTAGGATACCTAATACTGTTTTGCTGATTGTACTTTTTGTTTTTTGACTGACATCAGTTTTCTATTTGGTAGGGTTATTCTGGCAAGTTTTATCTGTGTGGATAGTGGGTCTCTCTGGACTGTTGCAAAGTATTTTTAATATTATGTTGCAAACCACCTTGAGTCTTGTGGGAAGGAAGGATTTAAGGGCCAAATCAGACTTGATGCAAAAGACAGACATCAAGACCATCATGGTTTTTAAAATGCTAATATGCAGCCCTAGGTGGTTGCTTTGAAGATCAAAGAAAGATCAGTGACTGACAGGTGTGTTTAATCCTTTTCTCCCATGCCTCTTCCACAACTGAAAACACCTTTCTCAAGTGGCAGTTGGTTCTTACGGGAACCTAGATGGATTCAGGCCTCAAAATTTGTGTTTTCTTGCAACAGCCAAATGCATAGGGTTAAGCAGCTACAAATTTAACATTTTTAAAATAACTTTATTGAACATAAAAAACCCACTTAATACAATATCACTATATACAAGATATGTATCAGTTGCAACTTACAGTCAGTTTGAAATTTCCTTACTAGTATAAGTCTATTACTAGAATTCCAAGGGTAACAAACTCTTTAAACATAAAAACGAGTAGTATGATTTACACCAGATTTACAACTATATCAGGTCAATAGGAAAACATTAATTGGTACTTTATAATTTATTATCATATAATCTAACAATGAATACCAAATTGCCAGAAAATGGGCACTTTGTTTTGAATTATTAGTTTGAGTGCTTTTATAAACGATTTTCTCCATGACATAAAATTGCCAGATCTTATACCATAGAGAGATCAATGGGGGTAGTTTATTTTTCCACTTAACAGCTACTGAGGTTCTGGCTGCTGCTAGTAAAAAACCAATTAATATGTTTTTTTGACCACTGCAAATCACAATCTTCCCACAAAGATAGTAGTAGTAATTCCATTTTTTCGAAAGATTATATCCTGTTATAGCGTTAATATGCTCAATTATCAAATCCCAAAATTGAGCTATGTTTGGACATGACCACCAGCAGTGGAAGAAGGAAGCTGTAGAGCCATATCTCTTCCAGCTCAGGGAACTCGTAGAAGGATATATATAATGCAATTTCTGCAGTGATAGATAGCACCGTGTTAATATCTTAGATGATTGCATTTTAATATTTATAGAGTGCGACTGCAAAATTGAAGATTTCCAAATAGACTGCCATTGTTGGCTAGATATATCCGCATTGCAATCCTGTTCCCAATGTTTTTGGTATGAAAATGACTTATAAGTGTCAATTTGTCCCAGTGTGGCCCCTGCCACACGGGGGGGGGAGCACAGTTAAAGTGCGGCTTTTTAGAACTGCACCAAAAGAGACATGCGGCAGTGGGATGAGATAGATCCCCTGAGCCGCCACACAGTTCCTCCCCAGCACGATCAGATGCCGGGGGGGAGCCACTGAAGGGAGAGCGAGGCAGCCGGCTGCGCATGTGTGCGCATGCGCAGTTCAGCCGGGAGCCTCGATTGCTCCTGAAGACGGGCACGCCGGCGATCTCAAGGCCGTGCTTGCTGCGCCGTTTCAGGTAGGTCCTACCTTTTTCTAGATTTTTTTAATATGCACATTTTTGGCCTAAAGGGCTGGATCGGGGACGGGTACGTGCTGCTTCCCAGATGTTGCGGTGTGAACACGCCCGTTTGCTGTGTCCCCAATCCGTCCCTCTTCCAGCCCTAAACCTCCTGTGTGACCGGGGCCTGTATTATACAATGTAGAAATTAGGCCTTTAAAGGAGATAGTCTCAGCTTTTATAAGAGTTTCAAATGGGGTAAGAGGTCTTGCTCCAAGATCTTTAAACATTGGGGAGATTAATAAATGCTGTAATTGCATATATTGATGCCAGGGTAGCTTGATGCCTGCTTCATGATCCAGTTCATTCTTGTCAATTATAATATCCTTTTTTGAGATATCCAATATTCTTGTTAAATTGGTTTCTTTCCATCTTATAAAAGCGTCTGGATTTAATGCTGGGGGAAACCATCTTTGGCCCAAGTACAAAGACAACAAAGACGGATTTTAGTTAAAAGATATTCCGCTTTACTTATATTTGTAGGTCTATGTTGTGCTTTATTCACATCTTGTAAAGATAAAGATGAAGTGTAGCTTTGTTCTATTTGTTTCCTATCAGGTGTAGCCATGGGAGAAAGCATTATCACTAGGTGTGATAACTGAGCTGGCTCATAGTACCTCTTTAGATCTAGGAAACCCATTCCTCCCATTTTCATTGCCTTAAAATTGATTCTTGGTTTGTGAAAAACACATAAAAATTTATTTAGTTTAGATTGCCACTGCTTAAAATAAGTGTCTGCTATTGTAATTGGTATGGTCATAAAATAAAATAAAAGTTTGGAGAAAGCAAAAGCTTTAATCAGATTAATTCTATCAGCCAATGTTAAAGGGAGTTTATCCCACCTTTTCAGGGTAGAAGTGATTCCTTTAAAAATTTTATATGATTGACTTTCAAGATATCCTTTAAATTCAATGGAATCTGGACTCCCAGTTGTCACCAGGAGTCTGTTATCGACATATATCTAAAATGTTCTTCTATAAATCATTTAGAACTCGGTGTAACATTAATCGGATATAATTCTGTTTTATTTAAATTAACCTGTAAACCAGAAACACCTTTAAATTGATTTAAAACGTTCTCATCTTCAAGTAACGATGTAGTGAGGTTTGATAAATACAAGGACATATCGTCTGCAAAGAGACAGACTTTATACTCTAATTTATTGATTTTAACCCCTGATATAAATTTGTTGTCTCTAATTATTAAAGCGAGTGGTTCCATGGCCAAAGCAAATAGGAGGGGAGACAGGGGACAACCCTACCATGTCCCTCTCATTAATGAGAAATCCTCAGAAGTGAAACCATTCACTCGTAAATGAATGGGACCTGCATAGAGTGCTTCAATTGCCCTACAAAAGATTTCCCCCAAACCCCATTATTGATAAAGTCTTCTTCAAAAACAATGATTCTAACCTATCGAAAGCCGTCTCTATTTCTAGGGACAATATGGTCACTTCGATATTATATTGTTTACAATATGATATGATGTTTAAAGTTTTCCTTATATTGTCTGAAAGATTTCGGGATGGTACAAATTTAACATTTTAAAAAACATGGAAGTCTTTGCACAGAAAGTATTTCTAAGGTCAAATCTGATTTTGCCCTAAACATTTTAGAATATAAATAAAATAAAATGATGAGGACAGGATAGCACTATACTCATTAATAATGTATCCTTCCCAGGGCTCTAGTCGGGGGGGAGCTCTCAGGTACGGAGCTCCGGAAGAGAACCTCTAGGGGGCGGGGCGGTCATGTGGTGAAGCCCCGCCCCCTTCTTTACCCCGGCCTCTGCTTCGATCCTCATTCCGTTTGGGAATGAGGATGAAGCAATCCTTCCCATAACAGTGCTTGCGGTACTTGACACTGTGACTTTACGTTTCTGCAACAGATCAGAATTTTGAGAATGCCACCTTTTACAATATACTAAGCATGTTTGCAACACAGAAAAAAGAAATCTAGTTAGTTGCAGGAGCATGATAAACCTGTGGTTTTGTTGATAAACCTGATCCTGCACAAGGTAGTTGTCAGGCATGGAAGGCTACAACATACATTACTTAGAGCTTTTGAGGTACTCTCCTCTGGTTTCTTCTGTTTTTAATCAAATATAGCATGGACACTTGTTTCAGCAAAAAATGAGACACTACATGTGTGAAGAAGAATGTTTCCAAGGTAGTATGTGGAGAAACCAAAACATACCTGATGAATTGAAGCAATATGTATCATACCGGTCAGATATATTTGACTGAAGAACATAAATCCCAGTGGTATTTGCAGCACACAGATGATAAGGAGTATGTCGGGGAACTACTATTTTTTCTTCAATGTAACCATATCTAAGAAAAAGAGAAAGACATGATCATCCTAGGGAATCTAAACTTCTAACCAGTATAGACTTCATAGAACTTAATATTATCAAACAAATATCTGTGATGAAACCACATCTTACCCAATACATTCTGATTCTATTCACAGAAGCATAGGGTTGCCAATGGAGGGAAAGCATTTAAAAGGAACATGGTCCCTTTAAATGTAATGGCAGCTCACCCGGAACTTGTTTTGGCGTTCCCTCTCCTGGAGCCTCCTGGTAAGTCCCCTACCCACTTGTCAGCCTCACCTGGCAACCCTACAGAAGAAGTTTCTCTTCCTGTTCTACTCTAATACGTCCTACATAATAATATAATAATTATAATGTGATCTACAGCCATACTCATATACACTCACACAACCATACTCATATACCCTCACACAACCATTAGGGTTCACATTGCAACTTAACCACCAATGTCACCCAAATTCCAATTCATACAGCATTTAAAGCAATAATAGCTCTCGAATAAAAACTGTTTTTTAATCTGTTTGTCCTTATTTTAATTGTCCTATATCTTCTACCCGAAGGCAGCAGTTCAAACAGGGAGTGTTCAGGGTGTGACAAATCCTGCAAAATGTTCTTTGCTTTTTTCAAGCATCGAGAACTATACAATTCCTCCATGAATGGGAGAGGACAGCCAATAATCTTCTGGGCTGTGATGATAACTCTCTGGAGTGTTTTCCTATCCACAGCCGTACAACTGGCAAACCAGGCACAGACGCAGTATGTTAAAATGCTCTCTATTGAGCAACGATAGAAAGACATCAGTATTTTCTCACTCAAGTTATTTTTCTTTAAAAGTCTGATTAAAAAGGGCCTCTGCTGGGCCTTCTTCACCAGAGAAGTGGTGTTAGCGCTCCAGGTCAAGTTCTGCTCAATAATCACTCCCAAAAACTCAAAATTAGCCACCCTCTCCACACGTTCTCCACCAATAAACAGTGGCTGGATGTCCGTTTTGCTCCTCCTACAGTCCACTACCAATTCCTTGGTCTTGGTGGTGTTGAGGATCAAACCCCCACTGGGTTTATAAAATCCTTATATCTAACAGCCAGGGACCACCCAGGGCTAGGAGACACCAAGGGCAGGGGAACTCAGGTTTGCAAAAAAAAAAACCTGTTTAGTTTTTTAAAAAATAAAACCATTGTGGGTAATAAAATCCCCCTCTGCTCTCCAAAGTTCATGTGGCATTTTGGGCTGCTATTGCAGGGAGAGAAATCAAGTGGCTAAGACAAGGGCAAATGTTGCTTTAGGAAACCAAGAATGCCTTCTGGAGACTATACAACTAATAATAACTGAGCTTGGCCTTTAGGTTGCATAGATATTTTCAAATAATTTCATCAACAGGAATTAGCTATTATTTTCATGCTAATTAAGTGAATTACTTTCAATGAATTTATCTTTATCTGCACTATAATTATATACTTTCATACATCCCAATAACAGTGCACATGTCAAAGAAGATGGAAAATCCATATAGAGTAAAGATTCAAATGAGACATTTCAACCTTTTGTAAGAAGGTGAGATGGAAGCACTTATGTCCATATATATGGAGGTAAAATTTTAGTTATTTGTTTTTCTTCAGTGGTAAGTTGATCATCAAAATCAATATTACAGATACTCTCACACAAGCACATGAAGAAAACAAATTCTGTGCCTCATGTAACAAGCTGACTGCAATCCTAAGCAGAGCTGTACTTCTAAATTAATTTTTTTACAATATATTTATTAGATTTTCAAACAAAATAAGACATACATATACACACTGACATACTCAACAACACATACATGAAATTAAATTTAAATTTTGTATCGTAACAGTTGAGCCAAAAAAAAGAGAAAATACAAACAAATAGTTCTTACTCAATTACACCTACTAACTCCTATACCACGGTATTTAAAGTATTTCACCTTTGAGTACACTCTTCTATTAATACTATTTTTTAAAGATTTGACAACACCAATTTATTCATATAGACTTTCTAAAATTAGTATTATTCTCCACAAAATCTCCTAACCCTATCAAGAAGATAAGAAAAAAGAATTGTTTACTTTCAGCTTTTCAATAGATCAACCATGTCAAA